GATGATCAATCATTCAACCGTTCAGTCAGCTTATTTTTTATGTCTTTTATATATAAAAGTTTTTGTGTTTATTTATATATGTATAATTTTCCAAAATTTCGGCTCTCTTTATTTGCAAGTAGTTAAATTTTTAAAAATTTTATTATAAAAGCTGCACAAGTATGAGTATTTGTCATTTCTCAAATTTTTATGTGCCATCCAATCAGTCTGTGCCTCTTGTTATTTTTTATTACTTTTTCAATTTTTCTTTCTTATTATTTTTCAAATTTATACCCTTTTTATGCTTTAAAATTATAGCTCGTTTTCTTAATAAAATTTTAGTTCATTTTATTTTTACTGATCCTCTTTTTATTTTTTAAAATCGTAACTCATTATCTTATAGGAACTTATTTTATTTACTTTTATTGGCGAAGCCCAATTGTGGTAGTGAATAGGAATGTACACGAGTTAGTGGGCCGAGGTATTCCTGTTGATCTAATCTTTTAATATAATTTTATTTATTTATTTATATATATATATATATATGTATCATTAATATTTCTGTTGTTATTACTAGCATCTACGTAGTTGGAGGACGGGGCTGTGAATAAATAGTTGCCGCAAATATTTTAGGTGTGATAACAATAATAATCATTGTTATTATACCGCTTATTAGTACTAAATGAAGGACCAGAATTGATATATAGACTCGCGGAAGACTATAGTATGCTTTAGAGCGTGGAAAGCAGCGTTTCAGATCCTTATAGCATATTTAATCAATTTGTTTTGGCCCTAATAAGTGTCATCTTTAGGTACTCTAAGGTTTTGCCAAACTTTAGATTCTATAACACACAGCTAGGATTTTGTTGATTGTAAGAAAAAGGATCTGGATTATTCTGGACGACCACCGTCCTACCTCTGGTTATTCCTACTGTTTGTAGGGTAGGTGCGACCCTTACCGGTCGTTACCCTGTGCTGAATGGGCCGTTGTTCCTGGCCCTGGTTACTACCCTCTTCCTTTCTCCCACAGGGCCTTTGAGGCCCGTACTGCCTTTTACTTTTAAAAGTTAAGCTACTTCAGGTTTCGGCTTCCAAAACAGCTTGGGTGATTCCAGTCGAAATGTAGAAGAATTTAACATCCTTAAGCTCTAAAAATGGTGCTCTGGGGGTTTCGAATGCTTCCTGCTCTCTGATCTGTCTTGTCTGGTTACTTCTTTACCTTCAAGATTTATTACTTTTCAAGCAATTACTTATCCGAACTCAAATGGGTGTGAAAGCAGTCTTCCTTTGCACGTTGCAAAATGAAATATTTATATGTCTGTGAGATCTGGTAAGTATGGATTAATTTCACGTTGTTTTCGTCCGGGATCCCATTTAATCTTCTCCGAACTGACAGCTCGTCTCAGACGAATGGTGCTCCCCTTCTAAGTTTGCTCATATATTTTTTTAAAAAAGAGCGAATGAGACCAAAAGCTATGAATTACAAATGCTTTTTTTTTGCCAAACATACACGAATTTACACATACATAAACAAACATACACACACACACACTTTACCCGGAAGTATTGCTATCCATAATCGTTTAGATTGTTAGTGACTTGATGGTGTGCGCTGGGAAGCGCGTTCCAGCATCGCAAGCGCACGCTTTTGGATGCTTTGAA